CAGGGGGTTTGGACTAGATGACCCACAGAGGTCCCTTCCAACCCCTACTATTCTGTGATTCTGTATGGCAACGGTAACCATACCTTACAGACCATGATGCCTCCAGCCCAAACTTTCGGTGTGACCGACAAATGTCACTTCAGTCTCCCAAACAACCCAGCATCATCTTCTGCTACCCTGACAGGGAGGTTTAGCTCCTGTCTTCTGCCGCAGCCTGAGATGTCACCCCCTGAGAGTTAGAGGTTTTCCGTTTCTGTGCAGGTCTGGCCTGGGCTGTGGGACGTGCAGCAGCTCAGGACCCCTCCAGCCCTGCCCCGTGTTTGGCACTGACATTACAGGGGGGAATTTGGAGCAGTAGTGGCTTTTCCGCTCCTGCCAAACCCCATCGCCTCTCCTAGCAATGCCAAACCAACGGGGAGAGCAAGCGAGGAAGCTGCTCTCGGTGCTAAGGCCAGGAATCATCAAAAACGAGGGCTGGAAAAGACCTGGAAAATGACACAGCTTAGCCTTCTCCCGAGGCAGGTTCAGCTCTATCCAAGCTAATCTGAGCGGCAGATGTCCAAGCAGGTCTTTGACCACCTCCTCCCTCCCAGCCACCATGGCCTCCCCAGGCAATGTCCTCCAGCCCTCAACTCGCTAGGCATGGCTAATGGCTAACCACTGCCTCTAATGCTTGAACTTAAGCCCATTAATTCTGTTCATTGAGAATAAATTATTCCCTTCCACTTTGCAGCAGCTGTTTTCTGCGTTTGAAGATCACTCTGCCCCCTCTTCTCTAGCCTGAACACCTCCAGCTCTTCCAGCAGCCAGTTGCTAACGCCCAACGTGTCCTTGTCCCTCCCGAAACCAGGAGCCCAGGACTGGATGTCTCACAAGGGGTTATCCTCCCAGTCCCACAGGCTACGCTCCTGCTCAGAGCGTGTACTTGTGCTCTTCACAGCAGAGTGATGGTGCAGGCTGACCTTTGGCTGTACTCTGCTGTATCCCCCTGACCTGCAGAGCTCTCACAGCCCACTGTCCTTGCTGCGCTTGCCCGCTGCTTTCCCTGCCTAGGTATGAACTGCACCCTCTCGTCTGCAGTTTGCTGAGACCCTTTTGCATTGCATCCCCCCCACTGAGGGGCTCGCACCCGCTCCCGGCTCAGCAGCACCCACACACCAAAACACCCGGGCGGTATCGCACCGTGCAGACCAGCGCAGGGAAACCTGACCGGCGGCCAGCTCAGCAGCACAACCCCTTTGCGACGTCCCCTGCTCCGTGACCACGGTTCCCTCCTCCACCTGGGTCAGGTCCCCAGCACAAGGCGGTGAGAAGGCCACTGCTTCACCAGGCAGTGCCATCCCGTAGCGGCAGGGTGACGGAGAGTGGCTACGGGCAGACGCAATGCCCAGCTACGAGGATTTAAGCACCGACATCGCAACAGGGTCCCGCCACGCTCTGGGCCAGCGTGAAGTTCTGTTGCCGTAACCTAACCACAAGGAAGCACCGCCAGCACCTCGCCTGCTCTGCAGCTTTTCCACCAGGTGAACGCTCAGAAGCCCAGCAATAATGTATTTTTACTGCTGGCCCCGGGTTGCAAAACAAACTCAAACTTGCTGCTCGCATCCTCCAGTGAAAAACCTGCTGTTCCCACCCAGTCGGTGGAGAAAACCCCACGCCAACTCCCGGCATGGGCTACGATGCAGGATGGGAGCAGGGAGGAGGGGAGGTTCAAGGCACAAACCCACGGTAATTCGGGGGCAACCTCCCTTTCCGCTCCGCTGCGGTGCCGCAACGGCTCCGCACCGCGTTTCCCAGCCGGGTTTCAACACACAGTTTGCTCACTTACCGTACTGGATTTGAGCGCATCCCCATTGTCCTCTTCAGATTCTAGTGCAACAGGTAAGGATTTCTGTGGCGGGGAGAAGGTTAAGTCCCACCTTAGTAGCCGAGGTTCAGCTTTGTCCCCGAATCTCAGGTTTTCCAGTTTCTGCACCGTGGGCTCAGCAGAGGAAGCTGGCCTGAAATTCTCTTTGTTCTGGGACTTAGACCTCAGTCTCTGAACCCCGAAGCCCCGGTCTTCCCCGCGGTGGTCGTCAGCCATGCTCCTGCAGGGTCCCCCTTTGCTATAGTGTCTTTTTTGAGTGTGAATCTCTTGCATATAAGAATCCATCCTCATGAGGGGCTTCATCTCCATCTCGTAATTGCTCATCTTCTCCTCATCCAGCTCAAGCAGTTTGGAGCTCCCTGAGCTGTGGTTGTGGGACCTGTGGTGGGAAGTCCATGAAACCGTGGCTGGGGAATCTGTCCACCTCTCTCTTTGCTTGTGGTTGGAGGCCGAGTGTTTGTGTCCTCCACTCCGACCTCTGTAGTCTTCAGGGACGGAGGCTGACCCCAGCTGACCGCTGCGCAGCGTCCCGCTTCTCACGCCGCGAGTCCCGCCGACCTTCTCTTCGCTCCAGCTGTTGGGGCGCAAGTAATCCACCCGGAAGGACCCAGGGGCGGCGGGGAGGAGGGACTGGCAGGGAAGCTCTGCAGCGGGCTGTCGTCGGGAGTCAGGTCGGACGGGGTGGTCCCTTTGCGGTACAGCTCGGGGCTCTCTTGTTGGAGAGGCGTCCCGGTGGAGAGGACCTCAATGTCATCGCTCGAGTTCTGGCGCTTCGGTCTCTGGCATTCGAGCCCTTTTTGTGTAGCCGTTAAGAGAAAAGAGAGAGGGAGAGAGAAAGGCAACAGGATTATTTCTATTCTGTGGGCGCCCACCAGGTTTTTCATGTCAAAGAATAGGGCTGAGAGTGTTGGACTGTGGGGAATCCGCAGGGCAAGGTCAGGACAGCAGCAGCGGAGCACGATAAACAGCTTCTGCTACGAGACCCGGAGAAAAGGCATCGCTGGTTTGACACCAGACCTGCTGTCACCCCCAGCACCCGCAGAGCAGCGAGGAGGGAGCGGCTGCAGGCTCGGCATCAGCTGCCGGTGCTGTCAAGACAGAGGCATTCTGCGCCCAGGTTGCGTTTCTCCACTGCTGTAAGCCCAAGGGCTACCAACCCTTTTAGAAACCACCTGCCACCACCGTGGCTCTCGTTTCCAGCCGGTGGATGTGTTTAATAAAATAAATATGGGGCCAAACTCTTTCCAGTGGTGCCCAGCGACAGGACAAGGGGCAACGGGCACAAACTGGAGCAGAGGAAGCTCCAGCTGAACCCGAGGAAGAACTTCTTCCCTCTGAGGGTGCCGGAGCCCTGGCCCAGGCTGCCCAGGGAGGCTGTGGAGTCTCCTTCTCTGGAGATAT